ATTTTCTAGGAAAAAATATAAAAATTATATCTACATTGTAAGTCAACAACAAATCTCAACCATGGACTATCTGTTAAGTAGAACATAATTTTTGTAATTAACTCCTTATTTTGTGCTTTCTCTTGCAATTTTCAGGTTATTAAGAGCAAATTTCTTTAAGGAATTTAACTTGAAATAGCAGATTGCTTGGGTACTGCTCATATCTCATTCTGTTCTGGAAAAGACTGGGAGTTTTCTTTGTGCCTTATGCATGAAACATTGCAAGTTGTGAGTGAAAACTGAGTTCACAAAATTTACTGCTGTGATGGCTCACTTAAACTGTCTGTTAACATAGAGTGTCTCTTCTACTCTATGAATTATTGGTCTGTATTAAAATAAAAATAATAACTAACATGTAGTAATTATTATATACGCCACGCACTGTTTCAAACACTGACAGAAATTATCTCAAATATTTATAAGAATTTCTCCACCCCCTTGAAAGAAAAAAAACAGAACCAAGTAGGAATATGGGAAAATGAAAACAATCTGATTTGTTTGGATGACTAAATCATAAAATAATGTGTTATTTTGATCACCATTAGTTATTACTGTATTCCCACTGTAAATATATATGTCATTTCTTTGAAAGCTTCTAACCTCCACTGCCTACCTAAAAATGCAGATAATAAGTGTACCTTCCGCTTAGGGCTGTGGCATTAGTTTTACACCGCGCAAAATCTTTCCAAAGCGCCGCTTGTGTTCGTACGATATTTAATGCCTGCTTAGATCAGAGCTCTCAGCTGATCACACAAGCTGCTTCTCTGGACCTCAGTTCTTCACTGGGCCCACCCACCCCAGTTGGGCCCAGGGCCACAGCTAAATCGTTTCCAGTTTGTAAGTCACACTCTCCCTCCCGCCTCTTCATAGACGTTCTCATCACTCCTGTCTAATTACATCTTCTGCATTTGTCATCATCCGGTTCACGTTTCCCTACCTTCTCTTATGTCTTCCTGTCCTATGTCACTATAATGACACATAACAAGTGCCTATAATGCACTTGGCACCTATTGCCCATTATTGAATACGTTAGCAACCTTAAAGGCAGTCCATTATATCCCTTTTAGGCACAGGAATATTCGAGAGGTTGCGGTTTAATGCAGGATAATGGTGCCAGGCCGCACCTACAGTGTGCTGACCCATGCTGCAAGGGCCCTGCAGAACTCCCAGCCCTGCAGTGATGCCCTGGAACTTGAGCTGTAACTCTGCAATCCCACAGCCACAGAGCCATCAGAAGGAAGCAGAAGTACTGGTGAGTTTCAAACTCAGCCCTTCATTAAGGACCGTACCTCTGAAAGAAAACTCCCCAACATCCTTGCAAGCAGTCTCACAGGCAATCTTCAAATGGTAATAATTTCCATCACCACGGCCCTTTTGCTGCTTAACAATGAGTCCTTTGGAAACAGCGAATAAACCAGCAGTTAAAAGCTTTCTGACTTCTAACTGCAGTCCTGCTCAGCGGCGCATATGAGTCTCTTTGTGACTTTTATTCAGGGCATGAGGCAGGCAGCTGGAACGCAGCCCACCCCATCCATCCTTCAGCAGCCTCGTTTGCCTGGTTTTCAGGGGTCAGAGACAACGCTCCAGCTGCCAGTTCCATGCCCAATGACAGGGTAAAGAATCTTTTCCACAGAAAGGCGAGGTTAATAAATAGCCTAAAGCACAGGCTTCTTATTTTCTCTTCCCTTCGCTCTCCTGCGCCAAGGGACCTCCCTCAGTTTTATAGCGCCTTCTGTCACCAAACAATTAAGCCCATTGCCACCCACCTACCCCCAAGGCCCAGATTCATAGAGAATACTAATGCGAGGAGGTGTGGGCAGAGCAGGAAGGGAGTGTGACCTCTTGCTGGGAAGAAATTTGGTCACTAAACCATTCACCCTCTCAGGAATCGATTTAAATACTTCAGAAAAAAATTACCTCTTCAAGGCAGTGTGTTTACACACAACATGATATCAGCCAAGAATCTGTTTTCTTTGGGCTATAGAATTGCTATACTACTATATTAAACTTTATAAATATACGTATATAAAAATACATATATAAAATATATTCTATTTTATTATGTATAAAAATATTTTAAAGTGTATTTTTTTGTATAGCTCTGTATTATAGCTTGAATTTCATATATTATTTATATGGATTCCAACATTAACATATAATATATACATACATGAAATGTGTTATGTATATTCATACATATATAAACACATATGTGCATATGTATACACTCTATAGCCTTAGCCAAACAAAACTTGGGAGTCATTTAAGTCCTATACTAAATGTTCTTCCACTCTTTATTTTCCTTTTTGTTTTTTCTTATGTGATGGATGAAGAAAGTAGGGAGAACTCTAGAACCAGCATGTCTAGGGAGGTCTGGCTGTGCTATTAGTTCAAATAAAAGCACTAACTCTTGTATACCTTGAGATATCCTTAGTGTTTAAACAGAACCAACATTTTAAAGAACACAAAAAGATTCCAAGCAAAAGTTTTACTTCTAAATTTATATATAATTATTAATATTTAATAATACATAAATATATGTATTTATATATTATATATTTAGTCTCTGAAGTAGAGACTAAAACTTAGAAGAAAAATGTTAAAATAAAGCTATAGTACAATATTTATTCTCAGATACATAAATATCTTACAATAGCAGTCTGGAGTCCTGGAAAGGAGTATCTATGCTTTTCCAAATGTATATGAGCAATTCTAACTCATAAATTATGCCAAGGAAGACATACAGTATATACAAAGTTCTTGGAATCCAGAGCCTTGTACTTGCTGAAGAAGCACTCCACCATGGGGCCATACTCAGTGCTAAGTTCTTATTCATTTATTTTGTACTAATTTACTTCCTAATTAATTTCATGATAGAGTTTGAGACAGAGTTTCTTTCTCTACTATGGAAGACCCCTCTGGGAAGAGCGGTGGCCCAGTAGTACTAGCAGGGCTGCTGTCTCTCCCATTCTTTACAGTTAGGTCAGGGCCATCCTCCCACATTCCTTGGATTCAAAGAAACGTAAATAAATAAAATTTTTACATTTTGGCCCTATGTTTGACTTTTAAAGCTATGCCATTGAACATTAAAAATAAATAATTGCATAGTTTGTGTATAGAACTTGCATTGTTTATGGCTGTTGAGAAGGAAGAAAGGCAGAGAAAGAGGAAATATTTTCTTCTGGCATTTCAAAGCTGCTTCTGACATAATAAATTATTGCATGTTAAGAATACAAACTGCCTCAGTAAATTCTATTCCCCTTGGGAACTGCCAAAATCACAGTCTACAAACACTAAAAAAGAAGAACAATAATACTGCTGCCAAACACAAAGATGGTATCTATCAGCCTAAGAGTTCGAAGGGTGATAGAGCTCTCTAACAGATTTCCCTTTCACTCTAAATATACCTTAGCACTTCAGATGATTCATTTAACATCCTACACCTGTAAAGCAATTCACAATTTGGCTAAAAAAAGTCTACTATTAATGCCATTGTATTTTCCCAAGCCATTTTTATTTCATCATATATTTACCAGCGTCTTGTCATATACTAACATTCTTAGAGCACTGCTTAGATTCAGTTATACTGAATTTAGTTCATTATTCCCCAATACCTATAATATGCCAATGGTAGACATGAAAAAATATTCATAAATAAATCAATTTTAAGCATGATCCTCAAACATGACACTCAGAAGTCCTGACTTCTTTTACATTCCTTCCATCCAGTCTTAATAACTAGCTCTACATTTTGCTCAATCCATAGTCCCCTAATTTTAGTTTTTCAAGAAAATTCAAGATGATCTAACAATCTTTACTTGCAGATAAAAATAAAAGTCATAAATATTACCAATGAAAACTATACTGACCCTAAGTAATAAAGCAAATAAATACATTATTAAAATGATCAAAATACATGAATTGAAAGTGTCTCCCTTTGCAAAAACACTACAGTTGTACCTAATGTAAATACAATAGAGGACAAATTAAAGTATGTATAGGAAAACAGCATACATAAAAATGATTAACAATAGTCTAGAGAAAAAGATTCAAGAATTTTTACTACTTTTGCATGTATTTAGTACAGGGTCTACAGGGTTTCACTACACAAATTGGACTCATAGTGATTCTGTTTTCAGCCTCCCAAGTGCTGGGATTGCAGGTGCACACCACCATGACCAGTCTCAATTGTCGTCTCAGCATGCTGCCAGCATGGCATGCGGGGGATCAAACCCTCGCCCCTGGATCTGCCTAATCAGGTGCTTTAATCAGCTGAGCTATCTGGCTGGCCTGACTACATTTTTATTGTGTTTGGATTTTTCAAGAGATATGCATTACTTCCTCAAAAATGAAAATGTACATTCAATTGGAATTTTTAAAACAATTATTATAGCTAATATATGTATATTAGCTAATATATATAACTAATATATATATATAGCCAGCATAAGATTAAGGTGCTGTTTGCTATCTGATTTATAATTTTTGATTTCCTATTTAATTAAAAGACTAAATATAAAAATGATTTGTTTATGTCTTACAACTGGCAAGATATATCAAGATTTCTGGAGAAATAATAAATAGTATCTGAAACAAACAAAAACACTGATGCTGCTGAGTTGTATTTGGTTTAAACATCTGACTTCATATTGATCATCAGTAAATCCTTAGTAGTGGGTTAATTGAAATAAATATCTGTTAAAATTAGTCAGTCAGTATCAGCACATCGTTGGCTAATACAGAAAACATTCAAAATATTTGTTTTATTTTATTTTTTTTTTTGCTGCCTCTATTTCATGTTCTGATTAAAATCTCACAAGCAAAACACAAGAAATAAACCAAACAAATCACACATCACATGGATGATCCAAATGGAAAGGTTAATGAGCTGTAATAATATTTGTTTCACAACATCAAAAGCAGCAGAGATCCGGAATATAATTTGCTTAAGTCGTCAATACTGAGATTGGAATATGCACATATAAATTACATTTAGGCTCCATGAGCTGAGAGCGCTGCACGATGCGCAGGATAACCAAGTGCAGAATGACTGAGAAGGCCGCCAGCCCGCCGGCCCTTCAGTACTCCCACTCGTCAGATTTCAGGTCGAGATAGCTGAGGATGTTCTGGGCCAGCTTCACGGCCTGTTTCCGGGCAGCCTTACACCTCTCCTCGCCCTGCGGGTCTACGGTGTCCAGGGCCAGCAGCTGCTTGGTCAGCAGCTCCTCCAGCCGGATGTAGTTCTTGTCAGTCCGATTGCCGTCGAAGGAGAGGACTTCTCCCTGGATCTCCGATAGGTTTCCCAGAACCTCCCAGACCGCCTTATGGGACGGGTGCTCCTCACAGGTCATCAATACTGAGATTGGAATATGCACATATAAATCACATTTAGGCTGCTTCCTCTTCTCCAGGGCCTCCCTCAGGTCCACGTGTGTGATCAGGGTCTGCACCTCAATGACAGCCCTTCTCCTGGCCTCCTGTATGCAGGGGTTTCTTTCCAGGCTCACCTCATCCAGCTGGCCGATCAAAGCCTGCAGCTCTGTCTTGGAGCTCAGATACAATTCGGGAGGGTTTTGGGCTTGGAGAAATTCCTTTTTTATTTCTCTCATCCTCTTGAGGACCTTTTCTATTTTCAAAATGGAATGGTTCTGCCTCAGGTCAAATGCGTGAGTTGTATCGGCTTCCTCTTCTAAATCCAAATACTTCAGTAACTTGTTGATGTCTTCTACCACCTCCCTCCGGTAGTTTCTGATCTCTGTGTGGCCACACACATCTAGAGCATCGAGGTCAGCAAGCAGCCCTGAGAGCACGCAGGACAGATGCCTGCAAGTCTCCCTGCTGTCCACGCCCATCAGCAGCGCCACCACGACACCTCTGGTCTTGTTTACTTCACACATCACTGAGTTGATCTTGGCGATGGAGGGGTGTGCATCTTCAGAGAGTGGCAGGGAAGGCTGCTTTTTCATGCAGTCTTCGA